CAGCCCTCATCCTCCCAATTGGGCCTTCGCACAGATGGAGCGTCTCCCCGGCCCCACAGCTGCTTCCTTCCCACCAGTGTCTCCCATCTCATGGCCGCCACAGAGAGGCTTCCATCTGCCACCTCAACTTCCCCTCAGTGGGGAGGCACCCTTCTCTTCCGGCCTCAGAATAGTTCCCTGAAGTCAGCGCTGACTTCTCACTGCCTTCTTGCACAGAAATCTTTTCCAAGAGGTGCTGGGGTCCAGAAGAGGGACAGATGGTCCCTTTCTTTTTATAACACGGCAAGTCTTTTGAAGTGAAGAGCGATGAACACAAGTTTTGCCTTCAGCAGATGTTCTGTGGGCACAACAAATACCACTTTGTGTTCTTCAGCAACTGCGAGCAGTGTGAACTGGGGAGGAGACTGAAATTGGGCAGAGCATTAGCAGAGCATATTCAGGGGGCCCCGGGGCCATGGCGTGATGGTCCCCGTTCAGTCTGCAGGCAGGCTAAGGGCAGGCTTGTGTCTCTCAGCCCGTTCCAGATCTACGCTTCCTAGAAACTGTCCGCTCACCTTCCCCGAGCCCAGGGACCACCCTGAGCCGTGGCCAGCCTGGAAGCACTAACGCTCTAGCTGTGCTTGAGCGCCTCGTCCAGCTAATCCTGAGGCTGGGCCTGAGGCTGTGGGCTGGGACGGATACTCCTCAAGAGAGTCATGGCTCCATGTTATCACACTCTTCCTTGAGCGCCACGATCTGGGGATTTTGCAAAGGACAAGAATGGCTGGCCAGGCATGACATCTTTTGAGCTCCCAAGGAGCCGAAGGCTACCCAGACGTCAGAGGGAAGCCAGTTCCAGGAGCCCTGTCCTGGTGGCTCCTCATCCCTCGGTGACAGAGGTACACAGCATCAGTAACTCCTTCTAAGTGCTGCTGTTTGGTGGATTTCCAGAACTGTGTTTGTTTAAAAGGGCATAAGATCCATAGACCTCACTAACTTCAAAGATGTATCATCTTTGCACGGAATTGGCTCCTTCATTGGCTGGCTGGCTCCATTAACTTTACTGCATTGGCAATACTGTGTAGAAGATGTGGGAGATGCCACGGTGGGAAGGAATCTCCAGGGCTGCCTGATTCCCAAGCTCCAGTGGCTTCTGGGGTGGCCAGTGCCCTGTCTGCAGTCTGCTGCAAGGGCCCAACATCCCTCATGGGTTTACTTGAGGAATTACGTCCATCCACTCACCCATCCATCTGTCACACAGTACTTTTGGAGATGACGAAAGAACCCAAGAATCACTGATTTATGTTGAGAGATATCAGACACATGACCCCAGGAAATGTAAGACAGCCATCGGGACCCATCTTTAGCCCAGAAATGCTGAGTGACAAGCTGGGGAAGCTTCAAGGTGTGGTACAGTGGAAAGGGAATGGGGGTTAGAGGCAGGCAGTCTTGATCCTGACTCCCATTCCCACTCTACCACTTAGATCCGGGCCAGTGTCTCATGCAAGCCTCGGTTTTCCCTCTGTGAATCCACCTCAGAGGGCAGATGCAAGGGTTACATAAATGCAGAGTGAACATATAATGAATATAAAATATCCACTCCATGCCCTTCCGAAAGACAGAGCTGCATCAACCAGCATGGACAGCTGCCCCCACTCCCCAGCTGTGCTCTCCCAGGCAACTCATCACCTACCCCTGTTGGTGAGAATTTACTCCTAAGCAACAACCCATCCCCCTCCTTTCTGCCCCCTCTCACCCCTTCCACACCACTACAGTGAATGTAAGAGTGGGATATTACCTTAAAGATCATTTAGAACCCCCCTCCCCCCCATTTTATAGGTGGGGAAACTGAAGTTCAGGGCTCTCACCAAGATATCACATTGTCCCCAGAAACTGTCTCTAGAGAATCCCCTGGGAAACCATCCCCACTCCTTAAGCAATTACTTCAGCTGCTAGGAGTTCTTTGCCTGGAAACCTCTGTCCCTGCACACAGAAAGCCACCTAGAGACAGGGCCCATTGGGCCGGGCTGCTCTGGGCCTGCTCACTGGGTCTCTCCGGGCCATGCCCATGGGGCACACACGGCTAGGCTGCTGGGACCAGAGCGCCACCTCCCACAAGCCAGCAGGTTCACAAGGCATGCGTGGGGGGAAGAGGGCGGACCAGGGACCCACACACTTACGGGGGGCCCAGTCAAAAATGGTACCATGCGGGCAAGGTCAGTGATGGCCCCAGGAGTGCGGCCTGACTGGGGAGGAGACATTGTCCAGGCAAGATGACAAGGACAAACTCTAACGCCATTTGCCAACTAGACTGACAGGTAGCCTGTTATGCACTGAATTGCGTCTCCCCCCCTCCCCCGCCCCATTCATATGCAGCCCTAACTCCTAAAGCAACTGTATTTAGAGATAGGGCCTCTAAGAAGTGACTCAAGGTAAATGAGGTCATGAGGGTGGGACTCTAATCCATGTAAGACAAGGAAGAGACAGCAGGAGGGCTTGCACAGAGGAGAGGCCACGTGAGGGCCCAGCAAGGAGATGGCCAGCGGGTAAGCCGAGGAGGGAGGCCACATGAGGAACCAACCTTGTGGGCACACCCTGATCTCAGACTTCCAGCCTCCAGAACCGCGAGGACACAAACACCCGTTGTCTTAGCTGCCCAGTGGGGGGCTTGCTGTGAAGACAGCCCTGACACACTCATACACAGCCCAAGACACTGGTTCCATAGACAGGGGCGCAACACAGATCCCCAGTCGCCCTTACGTGTGTAGACCTGGGCCTGAGACACGGAGCCATGACAACAGTGAGGAGTCACGTGGAAAAGAGGAGGGAAAGGCTGTGAGGGGCCAGTGGGCAAAACCAGACAGTTCACGGCGCAGTTGCCAGGGCATCCAAAAGGCGGCTGGCAGAGCTAGAAAGTAAAAAAAGCATTTTCTTGGTGATGCACTGATGCACACTTGGGCTTCCCTCTAAGATACGTTTTTGAAAAGAAAGAGCGTTATATGATGAAAACAGGCAATGGTGACGACTTCAACAGACTGCAAGCTTTTGGCCGTTTTTTACCTTTAAGCAATTTACACCAAGTTTTCGGTTCCTAACATGCGCGTGCTATTTTGACCTTTTATGCTTCTGGAATAGTGAGTGTGCTCTTGAATGGAATGTCATTTCAGCTAAAGCCAATGTTGGGCCACGTTTCCTCCCGTTGGTTTCATGGTTTGGGGCACAGTGACCTTCCCATCACACGGGGACCGGCAGCAGGCACACCACAGCTTTGCCCAGCTCTTCCCCTCTCAAAACTCGTTCCCAACCTTAAAAACGGAAAAATGTTAGGGAGCAGGCTGGCACGGCATGCCCTTCCCAGCAAAGACAGCATGTGTTAGATGTTTGCAGAATGATTAGGCAACAGGAGACTTGCCATTAACCTGTCACAATGGGAGAGAGAAAGGTTTACAAAGAATTTCTGGACGCTGGGTGTGCACCGATTTCCCAGTGAGGGGTTCATGGCCCTCAAGGGTTTCCTACCCAGATCAAAGCCCCTGAAGACCATGGGGTCTTCACCTTGCAAGACCAGAGTGGTCTTCCAAAACCAGAATGACTTGACCTTGACCAGAATGACTTGACCTTAGCCAGAATGACTTCACCTTGCAAGACCAAGATGATTTCACCTTGCAAGCCCAGAATGGCTGATAAAATGGATTCTTGCCCAAGATCAGGGATCCTTACCCGGCCTCACTAACTGGGCAAGTAAAGCCAAGAAGCTGGAGGAAAGTCCAGGCTTCCTCAACTCTGTGTACCAAGAGGTCAGGGAACGGACTTCTGGCGCCCTCAAGTATAAATCACTTAGCTGAACCTGTCTCAAATCAGGACGGGCCCTATGAACCATTTGAATAGAAGTGTGTGTGTGGCTCTATGATAGAAATCATATGATTTCTCTATTGAGAAATCATAATTCTGTGTTGCTGGCACTTATTTCAAACATTCTTACCTAAGATCTTGCCTCTGTAGGACTACCTCCCTTCTGCTCACTCCCCTCCATCATTCTGACTGCCTTTGAAGGCCCAGTCCACACTGACCTCTCTTCTCCAGCCCCTGTGGCTTTTATTGCTGCCTCCCCCTGGACTCCCCAAGTGGGGTGCAGCCTCCTCCAGGGACACTGCCATCCATGCCAGCACCGGGGACAGTGTCTGGAACACTGTAGGCATCCCCACAGGGCCTCATGTTTGTAGGAGCAGAGATTGTTATGGGGCATGCAGCTAGCACATTCCACAGCATCTTTTGAGTGGGAAGAGCTATTGTGGGCCTTGCGCACAGTAGGTGCCTAATACTACACACACTACTTGCTCAGTAAATGCTTGGTGGTGCAGCAGCGAAGGAGGTGACTTGACTCATGCTCTTCGGTGGCCTCTGAGTGTCAGTGATCTAGCACCTAGTGATCATCCCTGCTCGTATCTGTGTGGGCTTGAGACCAGGCAGCTGGCTTCTTGCCATGGGTCAGTGCCATTTCCTGAAGCCCCCAGAAAGGAAATATTCTCTCCCTCTGCTCTAATCTGAAGAGCCCTCTCATTCCCGTGGTGTCCTGACCCTGCTGGCCCTACCCGTCAACAGTTAGGGCCAGAGCAGGGTTTCTGATCTCAAAAATGCTCAGCAGAGATTTGGGGCTGAAAGCCCATATGCTACTCCTAGTTCCATGTACTCAGTTCCCTGGGGAGGGGGCCCCGGGCACCCTGTTGAGCAGAGGGCCCTTGAGACGGTTACACACAGGCTGGGGTGCTGGGGTCACCCGCTGTTCCGAGAATGACATGGTCTCTGGGTGGTCTAGGGGCCTTTGCTGCATCTTTCCGCTTGCCGGTTTCGCTCATCATCAAATGATCTGTTAACACAACAGTTAAGCCCTGGACAACCCTCCAATTAATGATTAACAAACCTCAGGAGGCCAGAGTCCTGGGAAGGGGAGGAGGGCTTTCGGAGGCAGGGCTGCGGCAGGTACTGCCCAGGCAAGGACCAAGCACCCCGTGTAGACGAAGTGTCAAATTCCACAGGCTCTGAGACACATATTTCTTAGGTGAGGGTGTGTGTGTTGGGGAGGGGGGTGGGCAGGCTAGAAAAGGGAAAGTTAGGGTAACAGCGTGTCTTGGATTTGGTTCCAGATCTGTGTTGAGGGCTATGTCAGTTAGACCTGGGAGATTATTTCGGCCAACCTTGCTTTAGAAACAATGGCGGGCCTGAGTCAAAGGTGCACCAGACGATAACTCTCCTCCAGGATTCTTTACATTAGCGGCGGTCATAACAACAGCTAACATTATTGTGGGCTTACTATGTGCCAGGCGCGGTGTTGAGACTTTGCCTACATTATTAAGTCCTTAAAAGGTGTCTATGACGACAGCACTAATATTCTCTCCATGTGACTGATGAGGAAACTGAGGCTCAGAGACACCAGTGTTCTAGCACAGCCCCACTGGGTCAGCGGGTAGTGGAGTTTGAATTCTACACCAGGGGTCTGGTGCAGAACCTGGGCTCCTGGCCGCCTTCCGTGCTGCTGGCCACATGCTCCTAACCCACTCCCTCCGCCTGCGTCCTTGGTTGGTTGGTCTGCAGGAGCGACAGAATTCTTTTTGTCCCATCTACTGATATGGCCTTGGAGGAGGACCCACGCAGTGAGCTTGGCACCTCCTCCGACAGAGAGCTCCTGGAACTGGGGGGAGGGTCTCCGCAACAGCCTGATGCCTTCTGGTTGTTACGGCAATGTGGAGGGGTGTAAAGTGTGACAAGGCGGGAAGGCAAGTTCTTGTGTTGAAAGTGGACCCCTGGGAACGAGGTGCTTCAAACATCACCATGGGGACGCAATCTCCTAAGACTCCCAAGGTAAACTGGTCTCTGGCTTTTTCAGGTTACCCTGGGCCCCTAAAAGGCCACAGACACTGGAAGGTGGCCCTGGCATTGGTAGTGAAGATACTAATGGCAAGGACTTTTGCAGTGATTCATGACATGCTGGCCACTATCCCAAGGGCTCTGTGTCAAAGAACTCACTTAATCCTCACAACGACTTTAAGTAGCACGTTCTATTATTATCCCCTTTCATAGACAAGGAAACCGAGTCAGAGTTTCAGATTCCCCTGTGCTCTGGGGCAAGCGTTTGGGTGGAGGTGCCTGCCCCCACCCCAGTGCCCCGCAGTCTAGGGGGGACAATGACACGGGAGCAGGGTGACTGTACTGCAGGTGCGTGCCCAAGCACAGAGCACAGCTGGAAGGGAGGCAAGCCTAGGCTTGGCGTGGCTTCAGGGCAGCCTGTGAGCAGAACAGCAGAGATGAAGGTGGAGGCAGGCAGAAGTGAGACCCTGAGGCACGACGTGAAGGGTTGGGCACTGTCCCGAAGGTAGCAGGGGCTGGTGGAGGCATTTGCCAGGGAGTGACGGGACCGGACTTGGGTTCTGCAAAGACCATGCTGGCTGCACCGTAGGCCTGGGTGGGAGGCGATGTGCCGTAGGCCTGGAGGCCACCAAGGCAGGCCAGAGGCGTTGGTGCCCTGAGAGGGAAGTGGTGGTGGGGACAGAAAGAGGACAGATCCAGAAGAGGCAGAATCAAAGAAGTTTTCAGACTCAGTGCCTAAGGGGGCAGGTCAAGGACAACCATGGGCTCTGACTTTGAACTCCTGGGTGGATTCGTGATGTCATTTCTGAGACAGAGGCCCGGGAAAAGCAGGTCTGTGGGAAGGTGATTTCAGTTTGGACGTTCTGTGCCTCTGGGCTAACCATGCGTGGGCAAACAGCTTTATCATGAATTCCCAGCTGCTTCCAGAATCTGCACTGAGCAGTGTGTGTCCTGGCATGTCAGAGGGTGGGGAAGGGATGGGGGGATCTGTGCTGGGCTCCACACTGGGGAAAGCAGTCCAAAATCCTCCTGCCAGGAAGGTGACACATCCACTCCCTTTTACACATGGGGACATGATGGTCCCATGACACTGCTTGACCAGGGGGCTGCCAACAGTATGAACAAACTTGGGCTTCTTCCATCTCCTCTGCACCGGGGAGGGGGCTCTGTTTCTCCCCTCTTCACTAGCTTCTGTCTCTGCTGAACTCTAGATCTGGGGTTAGTGTTGCAGAGTTAAGAGGGCAAAGTACTATGTATGCTCATGTCCACAATCTCATTCAAACCTCCTCTATGCCTGATGAAGATGGTACTCTCATCCCATTTTAAAGATGAAGAAAAGGAGGCTCAGAGAGGTTAGGAGACCTGTCCCCATCACACAGCTATTCACTATGCCTCAAAGTATCTTTTCCAGATCCTGTCTTTGCCACTCATGGAGACAAGAGTGGCTGCTCTCCAAGCGGAAGGTGGCATAAAGACACACAGAGCTCCCCCGGGGTGGGGTTCTGGGGCAAGGATGAGAAGGAAGAGGTGTGAAACCACAGGGAGGGGCTGAGCACACCCCACAACATGGCTGCCTGGCTGTGGGAATCCTCATGGCCCCTCACTCTAGGCCTACAAAATCTGAAGTCAGAAGAGACAAGCCCTCACCATTTCAGGTCAGCTTGGATTTTGCTTTTTGGTTCAGAAGAAGGGAGCAGGTACAAACTTGCTTCTCTCTCCTTGGACATGCAGGTGAAAATATAAACTTTCCACAGCTCACCATTAGTCTGGGGCTTTTAAAGGTCTCTGGCTACCGTCTTAGCCCCCAGGAATCATTTGTGGAAAAAGGTAGGGGATAGAAAAATGACACCAAGAGCTTGCACCTCTGCCCTCACACAACTGGGCTCCTGGGGTACTGGGGCAGTGACATTAGACTTCCCTCACTCATCTCACAAGGCCTGACGCTGGCCACCACCTCTGCCCATAGATTACATCACGGTTTCCAGTCCAACAAGACAAAGGCCTCAGGTATATGATAACAGGAATCAAATAGAACTAATTCTTTTTTCCTCCCTTATCACTTTGCACACATGAAATCTATATTTTAATTAGTTTTCAATACATAATCTTTTTTTTTAAAGAATGAAATCCTACCCCCAAATTGTTCTTAGAGAAAGAAAGATTCATCTTATAAGTTTCTTAAGAAAATCTATATGTGCTCAATGCATTTAAATAACACTCATTAAAGTGAACTGCATGCAAGCTGGCTTCTCTAGTCACAGAAGAGAGACAATCGCTTGACCTATTGCAAATCAAAAAGCATTTCTGCACCACCTTTATTTTTCAATTGGTTAAGTTTTAAATTAAAGTCCCAACGCCCTTTTTGGGAAGGCAGACTCTCATAGCCCCAACAGAAATTTCAGCTCCATCGATTGGAAGATAATTACAAGAAACAAAATGTGAAATTTTAAATCAGGGCACTAATGAAGTCTAAAAATACCAGTGGCCCATCCCTCTGGCTGGCAAGACCTGTTCTTCATGGAGGGGATCTCTCCATAATTACTCAACCCCGTGAGAGGCCAGGTTGTCATGTCAAACAATAGAGGAAAAATCGCGGGACTTTAATGAGCTAGATCTCAAGGAGCTCTATGGTGAATCTTATTATAATGCCGGGCAAGCTTTCAAACCGAACAGGAGAAACAGAAAGTTCTTCTTTTTTTTCCTTCCTTAAGTGGAGTTCTGACTAGTGTTGATACCATCACGCGGTGCCTCCCGGTTCTCACTTGGAGCCAGCTGTCTGTCATTTAGGAGTGTGAAATCAATTGGGTTTTGGAGATGTAAAATCCCTAGGGGCAAAATTAAAAGTGACCCAAATCCAAACCCACATGGTCTTGTCAGGAATATGATTCTCACATGGTAAGTTTCAAAGATTTGGTTTTAAAATTCGGGTTTCTTATTTTAAAAAATATGCAGTTGTTTGACATTAGATCTGACAGACAAATTATAGCTTTAGCAATAAAGGCTTTTAAGATTAGAAATGAAAGGAGAAATTACTTAAAAAAAAAACACAAAAAAACCCACACAACCCACCCAGGCTTGAGTTTGGAGGCATTTGTATGTTCATGCTTCATTGTCTTTCTTCACCACAAATATAAGGGGATAAATCAGCTGATGAGGGCCATAAATAGAGAAGTGAGTTAAATGTAATCTCTGGGGACACAGCCTGCTCACTGGCCGACTATGGAAATCAGCGTGACAGATGGGTCACCGGTTGTCGCTGGCTGGAGCTGGAGGGATCTCACTGGCTTACCAGAAGGCAGGGCTGTGGACACTTCCTAGGCTGACCCTATGCCTGGCCTCACCAAGCCCTGAATCCACCCTCCAGGGCTAGCAGGACAAACTCCCTCAGGGGCCCTCTCTCTCCTTCCCTCCTATCTGCGGGTTTGAGCTCAGTACAGAGGATGGTTCACGCCCTCTGGCCCCAGAAAGATGTTACAGGTGAGGCTCTGCAATGGCGTGCTGGCCTAGTGTGTCCCTGCTGCCTGTAACTTCCTGGGCCCCTAACTTATGGGCTCAGGGTGCTGATTATAGAACGCACCTGTGCCTTTGAGGAGGCGGACCCCAGTTCTGTGCCAAGCTCCAAACCAGGGACTTTAGGCCCAACTGGGCCAGTTCCCTTTCTGCCCAGAATAAGTCCTTTTCCTAGATACATGTCTGAAACTTGGCAAATCAGTAAGACCTTTCATCAGCCCTAGGAGGCCTCTGGGGGAGGGGGAGATGCCCCTATGGTGGGAGAGGGAAGACCACCCAGTGCCTTGGGCTTTGGTACAGCCTTGGGAGGAGCCAGGACACCCATTTCCCAGTGTATCAGATCTGGCCGTGTATAAACTGGGAGTAAAGTTTTTTTTTTTTTTTTTTTTTTCCTTTTTAGGGGAGAGAGCGCTTAACCAAAACAATTCAAACAAAAAATCAATTTAGTCAATTTTTTTTTTTAAAAAGATCTTAAACAAAGCAAGAGTTTACCAGAATTTAGATGTAATTTTCTATAATTTTGTCATTTAAAACTAGTGCTGATTTCCAAAACAAAGGCAGTTGGGGTACAATCAGATTGGGAATGAAACCCAGTGGAGATCTAGACACGGCTTTGTTGTGGGGATGCCTGATGAGGTCCGAAAATTGCTTGAAAGAATAAAGATAGAGATGCATGAGAGCAGGCAGGAAAGAATGACTAGTGGGAGTCATTGCTCTGCAGAGAGACAGGGCCCCCTGAGAAGCCATCTCCAGGGGCTCTGAGTGAGAAGGCTGAGAAGTGATGCCCAGAGGTCCACACCTCCTAGGACTCCCCTCTTTCAAAGGAGGCCTGGGTACCCCAGCAGGCAGACCGCCCACCATGTGCCCTCCTGCCTGCCACTGGGTCCAGGCCTGGCTGCCTCCCCTCTCTACTCAGCAGGAGAGGGGCTTGGCTGTCTGGAGCTCTAAGGGGTAGCAAGTAAGTCTGGGGCGGATAAACCCCACCAGTCTAACATCTGTGGTCCCTTGTCCTCCTGCCCCCTTCTGCATTCCAGCTGGAGAGATCCCTGAGACAGACCTCAGGAGTGATGCCTGTTTGCTGATGCACTTTGTCCTAACCCTAAGGCTGGGGGCTCATCCTGCAGCCTCTGTTGTCAAGGATCTGCCTTGAAAACTGCCCTGGGGGTGGGGCAAAGGGGTTAACTGAAGGCTGAGGCTAGAGGTGCTCTTTCCTGGAGCCTCACAGAGCCACCCTTGGGTCCTTGAAACAAAAAATCCAAGTGGCTCAGGATGGTCTGGGAGTGTCTCCTGGGGAAGAGACATTCCCCTCACCTAATGTCTGGGGAGCTGCTCTCATCTGATGGCACAGCAGAGGGTGCTTTTCTGGGGAAGGACACAATTCATGTTCTGACTGTTCTTATGGGTGGAAAATGGAGAAGGCCCCACAAAGGACTGTTCCATGGAGGCCTCAGAGGAGCAGATGATTCCTGCTCATTCCATACTTGGCCTGGCCTTGGGGTCAGAGGTGAGAATGGCTTAGGGCTTGGGCTGGAGGCAGAAGGACCCCGGACTTTGCAGGCTCTTCCTTCCCTTCCTCTCCCTGCCAGCTCACAGGTCCTCGCCTTGCTTTCCTTTCCTCCTCCACCTTCCCCTCTGCCTCCTCTGCCTGAGGCCAGGCTGTCTTGGGCAGGGGGAGGCCCTGCCACTACTTCTGGGCTGCGTGAGGCCAGGGAGGGACCTGCTGGAGAGCACACTCCTGTCCGCACCGCTGTCATGACTGCTCGGGGAAGCACAGATGTGGGCACACAGGAGTATGTGGGCAGCGGAACTTACCTTTGGGGTGCCCGGGGTCGGTGAACTCATACTTCCCCACGCCAATGGTCCGCAGCATCTGTAGCCCGTGGGCTGAGTCAGTCGTGGGGGGCCCATTGGTGGCAGGGGCACCGCTGGGGAGGGTGGCAGACGGCTGGGCTGGTGGTGGTGGAGGCAGCAGAGGCCCTGCCATGTGGCCGTTGCCCACGGCAGTGGGTCCCGGGCGGCCCACCTGCCCCACGCCAGGCAGTGTGGACATGGCCAGGGGCTGCGGGCTGGCATACAGGGCCTGGGCGGGCATGTTGACCACCACGCTGCTCAGTGGCTGAGAGGGTGCCTGTGGGAGTGAGTAGTGGCCTGGCATCAGCGGGAGCTGGGGCCCCACGTGGGGAGGCAGTGAGGGCGTCACCCCAATGACTGGGGCCTGGACGTTCACAGCCGGGCTGAAGGTGGGAGGCTGGGTCACTCCATAGGAGTGTGCGATCAGGGCGGGCTGGCTCCCGGCGGCCACCGTGGTCACCCATGGCCCTGTGCCTGCAAGGGAGACAGAAGAGATGTCATCTGCTGGATACACATTCCCTCGGCAAACACCAACTGCCCCAGGTCCTGGGCTGGGTGCTGAGGTCACAGAGGTGGAAAAGACACCTGCATCCAGGAACCCCCAGGTTAAAAATCTGTGATTATGGTAGCATAGGATAAATGCTTTGGGGGTATATGAGCAGATGGCCGTGGAGGCTCAGAGGGGGAGCACAATCTACTTGGGAGAGCTCAAGAGGCAACAAAAGAGAGAGAAAAAAAGCAGAGACCTTCAAAGAGTTCTGGGTTCAAATTTTGACTCTGCCATTTATTAGCCAGGAGCCCCGGGCAAGGTGCTTATCTTCTCTGAGCCTCATTCTTCTCGTCTGTTAAATGGAACTAGCAACACCTACCTCAGAGGTCTCTTGGGATGAATTGAATGAGGAAAATGTATTTGGAAAAAAAAGAAAAAAGAAAAACTAGCAGAGTATTTGGCATGTATTAAATGTTCCATAAATGTTGGTGTTTTTCCTTCCTTTCTGGAGAATAGCTGTCTGGAGGAGGTGGGGAGAAAGGTGGATTGTGAAGATAGTAGGTGTTTGCTGGGCAAGGTGAGAACACCAGAACCTGGAGCCGTGCAAGGGCCCTGTGGTGCAGGAAGGGAGAGCAGGAGGTGCGGGAAGTGGGGGAAGGCGGGCAGGAGCTGGGGGGCCAGGCTTTCTCCTAAGCAACCTCTGCATGGCCGGCCCTGGGGGAAACAACAGAAGTGCATTTGGCCCTTAAGGGAATTTTGACTGAAGAAGACACACCTCCTGAGACTTGATACAAGATTCGAGGCCTGCTGAGCAGGTCAGGCCGAGCAGGGTCAGGTCCCCTTGAGCTGAGCTGACACTGAGGTGACCCAAGCGTGCTTGTGAGCGAAGCCAGAAGACACTGTGACGGGGAAGGCAGCCTGGGTCACCGCTGACTGAATAAGTGTGGGGCTGGGTCTCCATCACCCAAATGCCACCTTGGTTTTCATGATGCTGCTGGAATGATAGTATAGACTGAGGGCAGGGAGACTGAGGAAGAGAGTGGGGGCCGGGGGGCCACTCAGGACCCCAGCCCCAGAGACGAGAAGGGGAGCTGGGAGCTCCCTCACAGAAATAGGAGGTTAGAGAAAACTAGAAGCTGGCAAATATTGGTGAAGCAGTGCCGGCAAGATTCTAGAATAGGCTGCTAAGGGGGATTGTCCCTAAGTCTGAGGAAGAGGAGCCAGCTGTGAGCCAGCCTGGTGTCTTAAGCACAAGACATGCCATCCTAAGCTCATTTCTCTCCAGGATTAGCCAGGGAGCCTGGAACGATGCACCAGAACTTGGGAGCACAGCTAGTGACTTCTCTGGGAACTCTGGTGAAGGTACAGAGATGCCGGGCCATGGCGGTGACTGATTATCAGAGTGCGATTGGCCCAGAGGATGCTGGGGACCTAAAGGAGGTCTCTAGTGATGTGCACTGAGCCCTGCTCACCCTATTTATCAATGAGTTGTATGACAGGGAGGATATCACCACTCAATCTGGAGGTGACATCATATTGGGAGGGTTAGGCAGAGGTCAGCAGAAAGAGCTGGAATCTAAGAGATCTTTAGAGTCCTAGGGGAAGATACTGACAAGGACTTGCCTGTGAGTCCCTACACCCCGCTACCTAAGGCAGATTGAGAGGACGGGGGTCAGAATTGCTGCCATGACAGTCTTGGGGTCTCACTGGTGACAGCGCATGTCTGGGGCTAGCAGCCAATCAGAAGTGACCTAAGGCTGCAGTGGTCAAAGTAGAGGGGCTGAATGAAGGAGGTGCTGGTCATAGCACATGTGGGCTCTTTGCGTTGGGTTCCGGGCCCTGAGGGACGCAGAGGGAGAGATAATTCTCTGGAGGGCAAAGGAACTGGCAGCCACAGGCTTTGGAGTGTGGCCGAGGGACTGCAGAAGACTTGGAGGGGAGGATGAGTGGGGTGTTCAGGTATCTGTAGGGCTGTGGTGTGGAGGGCCAAGCAGACGAGTTCTGTGTATCCTAAGGGGAGGTCTGGGACCAATGTGTGGTAACAGGGAAGGTGTTGTTACGGTCAGAGCTGACCCAAGAAGGCCTGGAGTGCTGTAGGAGGTGAGGAGTCCTCAGTCCCGGGGGGTGGAGCATCCCGGTTCTCATTTCAACATTGGCAAGGCAAAACCTCCCTGGAAGGTGTGACTTGAGAGACATATGAACCAGAATCCTGAGGTTTGGGAAGGACTATTCAAAATAACACAAAGCCGATTCACAGTCACTCCTGTGATGTCACTCTCACTCCCTCCACCTCCGCCAAAGCTTTCTTGAGTAGCAGAGAAAGGGGTAGAGATGCAGCTACTGCCCAGGACACACAGGGTCCCTACCCGCAGGCAGCCTGAGGCCTGGGCTGCTGCAGGCCCGTGAGCTGGGACCTGCTGAGGAGCTGGAGTACCCAGGGGGCCTCTGACCCCCTTCCCAGCCTCGCCGTGGGAGTCTCTGGCTGCCGATGAAGTACACACCTGGATTGTCGCTCTCCCTCATCTGTTTGGAGGGTGGCTCATCAGTGTCCCAGGGCGTGGACTGATTGATGGGCGTCTGCCCCCACCGGATGCTGGTCGTGAGTCCCTGGGACTGATTGTCCGCTTTGGAGATTCCAGGGGCCTGGGGAGAAGCAGAGCAGGAGGATGAGCACGGCCTGACTAGGGCTGCTGCCTTGGGGCCCATCCACGGAGTGGTGCCACGGGGCCAGCGGCAGAGACCGGGCCCCACACCCAGCGCCACCGGGGAGCTGCAGAGCATTTGGGCTTAGTGTTTGTAGGCTTCTGCTGCAGTCCCACCCCCAGGAACACCCAACCCAGTGCCTCCCCCGCCACCCTCTGCGGTCAGGCCCCATACCAGCCTCTGAGGCCCCCACGTGCCACTCCACAGAGGAGGTGTGGGGAGGGTAGGGGCTGAGACCTGTGGGAGGACAGCTCAGCACATGTAGCATCTTCCCTGGGACCCTCGGCTCCTTGTTGTGGGAAGGAGGGAGGCTCTCTGTTTCAGGATCTCATTCTCTAATTTAGATATTTAGATTAATGAGAAAATGAACCCCAGGTTGAAAACAAACATTAGCACAGCATTGGTCTCTAAGCTACAGCTTTGATGGAATATTATATGGTCATTAAAAATCATGTTTACTGAAATGCATAATGAGATGGCAAAATGCTTACACTATAATGTTAAATGAGAAAAGCAGGACATAAAATGACACAAATAGAAGCTCACATGTAAAACAGTACGTGTAGGAGAGAACAAACCAAAATGCTAGCCGGGGTGTTATTCTTGGTGAGAGGAATATGGGTAAATTCTACTCTCTTGTCTCTACTTTTCTGTATGCCAAATTTTCTACTATGGCCATTACCATTATAATAAGAAAAAAAAAAAAAAGAAAGAAGAACAAGAAGAAATCCAAAAGCATGTTGGAGAGCCTGGGATTGGGATCACTGCGATGTGGCGGGGGGGGGGGGTGGGTCTCAGCACAGGTGGTTTCAGGAAGTTTCCGCAGTTCCCAAGACTGCAGCCAGAGCCCCAACCAGGTTGGGGGTGAAGGAGGAGGTGGGGTGGGGGGCAGAGCCGGCTGTCCCCCAGGGGGGCCTGAAGGGGCATCTGCAGGCTTCTCTCAGGTAAGGGCCATGGTCTTCCTGACTTCTCACAGAAGCTGACCCAGTGAGCCAGCTGGTGGGGGCAGCGCCCCACTGGGCCTCCCTGAGCAGCGGGAATGGCTGAGTAGGGGCAGGTGGAGAGGAGGGAGGACAGCACTTATTGGGTCTTTGATGCCTAATGCAGATGACAAACAGCGCCTGCATTAGGGCCGGCTGGGAGGAGGGGAGCCGTATCCCATTAGGACCTGTGGGCTACAAGGAGCTAATTGCATCAGGCTGCACTTTATCTCTGGCCTGCATTTCAGATGCTTTGCTTCTGTGAACAGAGCAGGAAACAAAGGGACGAGTGAGTCTCCGGAGGAAAGAACAATTCAATGGACAAGCTTCCTTCTCAGAGGCCCCTGCCCCATTTCTGTCAGTGGGACAAATGGGAGCTTGGGGTTGGCTGTGGGGGTGGGGGTGCTGGGGAGGGGGCTGGGGATTTAGCCACACTCACCGATAGTCCTGTGGCACTTAGGGAACAAAAGCGTGGCTTCTATAGCATTCTCTGTAAACAGAGGGCTTTGCAGAGCACCCTGCTTGCAGCCAGCTCTGCATTCCCAGCTTCCCCTGGGTGCTCGTGGGCTGGGAGGTGCAGAGGTCGCTTCCCATAACCAGAGGCTTGCGAAGGAGAAGGAGCCTGTGGGATGTCCCATTCAGGGCCCTGTCTGGGGGGTGAGGTTTGAAGGACGACACTCCAGCCTCCTCGAGCACCCTCCTTCACGGACAGTACAGAGACCCCTCTGCCAGGAGGGGGTGCTGCAGCCCCTCTCTGCAGCCCGGGGTTCCCGGAGGCCTCTCAGGCCAGAGGCAGGTCTGGTTTTCAGGGTCCTCCCGCCCTTGCCATTTGTCGCCCACTGAATCAGCATTGTGCCTCCTCCGCCTGGTACTTTGGGACAGGGTCCAGAAGGGCTCTGGGAGTTTAAAGGCTCTGGGCCTTATGGCAGCGGCTGCCACCAGTAGGGGAGGTTAGGGTTTCCTCCTCCACAGTGAGTAACCCCGATTCTGAACTTGAAAACTTTAGGAGTCCCTGTTTTTGCTCTAAAACTGTGGGGTTTCTGAACTTGAAACACTGCACACTTTTGCAAGGGCTTAGTCCCTTGGCTCCAAAACCCTCCTGCCAGGTCATTCACCAATGCATTTTTTGGTTAGTTGGTTTTTTCAGTAAACAAGCACTGGGCCTCTGCTCCCTGCCAGGCCCTGCCCCGGGGAACTGGGGATGGGGTGACTGAGACTCAGCCCTGCCCTCAGGCGGCTGCTCCCAGAGGAGTGGAGCACTCAGCTCTGCAAACTGTACGCAAGTCAGCCTCCCGAAGGAAGCCGGGGGCACAGGGGTGAGCCCAGAATGGCTGGGTGCAGCCAGGGGTGGCTACAGCAGGCCTACCGCTTGGCTCTGTCTTTCACGACGATTACAGGCAAGTTCTTATGTACAAGAAAGCCGTTCTGCTGTGAGAAGGGAAACAGGGTCTTTCATTTTTCCCTTTAGGAAAGATAAAGAAGGCCACTCTCTCTACTCGCACTAGCAACTTCTGAAGCTACGAGCAAATCACAGCTCAGAAATTTCTATTTATTTATTTATTTTTAAACAATGAAATGAACATTCCTTTCTCCACTCCCTCAAGAAAAAACTGAATACGGTTGTGCATTTTGCCAGGGGCCTGGGCGCCCAGGTGGGTGAGGGATGTTGCAGCTGGTGATGGCAATCAGCTGGGCCTGACCGGAGCCCTTCCTCCCGCAAAGGGCTCCAGGCCCAAAGTAAACGCATGGTCTCCAGAGTTCTGGAGGCTTCGGGAGCACTGTGTGCGGGTCCATGGCTCCAGCTCTGAACTGAGCTCCTGCTAAGACTTTCTCCCTTGGTCCGGAGTCCCCAAAGGTCTGTGACTCCACCGAAGGCTCTCCAGGTCTCCCCCAGCCCGAGCAGGCCTCCCCAATTCCACTTCTCCTTGCCAGGGGGATCCCAGCACAAGAATGCCACAGAAACCAACCAGGAGCACAGCCCAGGCCGGGGGAGGAAGGCAGGACTGAGGGAAGCTGCCCTGGCCCCCTCCCACCACATCATCTGGGACATCGGTGAAGCCACCCAGACATCTGGCCTTTTGCCAGTGTTCCTGGTCATGTTTCTGCTCCCCTGACATGATGATCCTCTGGGAGGAGTGACAAGAGAGAGGCAGGTGAGGAGAGCCCTCCTCCTGCCTGGTGCTTCAGAGAGGCCCTCTCTGCCCATCACTGGGCTGGGCAGGCTTCTCTCTGCTTCCCTTTAATGAGATGCTAATAGGATGCCTCATTAACGCCGCAGCTTTTAAACCCTAAGCTCTTGTAAATTTTCAAAGGTCACATTTTTACGGCAGCTGACAGCATCCTGCTTCTTTCAGTGACTGAAGAACACTAAAGACCCCGATCCTTTATGGATGAAGCTGGTCCAGGGGCGGGAACCTCACCGGGCGACAAGCCTCACAGGGCCCCTGGCTTGTGCTTTACCAGCCTGGGGAGAACCAGGTACACATCGCCCACCGAGCCGCACTGGAGGCCTGCTCTGTTTGAGGGAAGCTGTGGGGGCCAAAGGTAGTGCACAATGCAAAGATGCCTGGCAGAGAGGGGTCGGGGGCACTTTTCCTCCCACGAAGCACCTTGTGCCCACCAGGCGGTTCACCCATGATGCTGCGACTGCTCAGAGGGGCTACTTTTTGTTAATTTTCCCACCGAGAGGGAGCCCCTTTTTCTACTTTGCACAAAGGTGCCATGTAGGTGAGCAGCATCCCAGGTAGTCAGGAAGGTTTGAAAGATGATGGGATGGAGCTCCCCTGGGGCCCCCCACATGGGAGGAGTGACAACACCAGCACCCATGTCCGTCTCCTGCTGATGCTGATAAACCTGTGAACCTTGACCTTCTTTTTTTTTTTTTTA